GATGTTTTTGTTTGAAGCTACTGATGTCATGAATAATTATGTTTAAGGAAAAGGTAAATGAGGGTGTGGATCAGGTAGCTGGCCTCCTCTGTTATGTGTAACAGAGGCTTCCAGGCTAGATCTTGTCCTGGGTGACTCCATTTTACCACATGGCATTTAGCTCTGTTGTGAGGGGAATCGCAGAGGGTAGATCCTGCTGCATCTGTTTTGTGAATGTAGACACCACCACCCATTCAGCACCACCCACTAGCAAGAGGATGATAACATTCTTACATGTAAAAGTTACCACTCGAAAACCAGACTGAGAACATATGGGCGCATTAAAACTGATGAGGTTGTTTTCGGGGGAGGGGGCGAGGGCGGGGGTTAGCCACCAATTTCCTTGTCTTTCTTTGCCTCTCTAGTGCTGGGATTATGGACATATCCTCATCTCATGATCCAATAAATCTTAATTTACTCTTTTTTTTCAAATAGTACATATTTACTGAGGGGGCTTTTCTGTACGAGGCTTGGGTAAGTCTCCAGGACACAGGAGTGAACAGGAATGTAAAACCTTGTTCTGGCTGGGCAGTGGTGGTGCATGCCTTTAATCCCAGCACTTGGGAGGCAGAGTCAGGTGGATCTCTGTGAGTTCGAGGCCAGCCTGGTCTACAGAGTGAGTTCCAGGAAAGGCGCAAAGCTACGTAGAGAAACCCTGTCTTGAAAAACCAAAAAAAAAAAAAAACAAAAAAAACAAAAAAAACAAAAAACAAACAAACAAACAAACAAAAACAAAAAAACAAAAACACCTTGTTCTGCTTGGAAGCAAGCTGAATGAGAAACAGTGACATGATGTGATGAGCTTTCCTCATGGAGAAGTGGGGCTGCCATGACATATACAGGGGTCCCAGCCCAGTTCAGTGTGGGGTCAGCGTTCTGGGTTGGAAACAGCTTCTAAGGAGCAGGTAAGGCCTGAGAGATTAAAAAGCCCTGAGCAGAAGGGGTTGTGAACTATATTGGGGATGGGAATGACTATATTTGTCTCTATTTTTGTTTGTTCTTTGAGAATTTCATACAATATATTTTAATCATATTCTAATTCCTTTCCCCAACTCCTCCTAGAGTCTTCTCTACCTCCCAACCCATCCAACTTAATGTTCTTTCTCTCTTTTAAAAAAAACATGGAGTATGTTTTGCTTTGGCCAACCACTCCTAAGCATGGGGTCTGCCCCAGAGTGCTGTTGATATATCCATTGTCACTCCATTGAAGAACACTGATTTTCCCTGTCCCGGCAGCTAACCATTGAGACTAGCTTCTTGACCAAGGGTGGGACTTCGTACTTAACCTTTTGACCCAGTTTCATTCTTGACCAAAAGTTGGAAATGTCTGTGGGTCTGTTCAGCAGACTTACTCCCTGGAGGCCAGAGCTGCCAGAAGTGTTTAAACTAAATGTCTCTGGTTCCACCGTGGCCAGAGGCTGGGGAATTCCAGAAAGGGGGTCTGGTTTTTCCTGAGCTCTTTCCTCCTGAAGGAGTAACAGTTTCCTGGAAACTTCACTGAAGACGTGACTGAAATTGTGAGACACCTTGACACCTGGGAACGGAACTGGACAGCCCCTTCCTCCATCCATTAAAGCCTGATTAACTCCAAAGTAGTGATGCTCAGTTGTGTCTGTCTCCTGGGACCACTCTAGCTGCAAAGGAGCCTGCCTTCTTTTTTTCCAAGTTCCTTGTTAGAAAAGGCTTATTTCTAAAACTCACCCTCTGTGATGTGTGGATTTCACTCCTCCAGTTCAGAAGACAAGAACCCAAAAGACCACCAACACAGTGAAAGATTCCTGTAACTGTGGATGTCTGGCACTCTTGCTGCTGAGCGAAACTTATCCAAAAACTAGTAAGGGCTCCATCGTTCTGATACAGGGCCAAAGTGATCACACATGTTTTGGGCACAAGTGACCGTGTATGTACAGGATCACAATCAATCAGTTTGAGGTGCAGGAGTCTTTACTGGTTTTATAATGAGGTTCTGAGACATTTTGTGCTCTCCAACAATAATGTATGCCTTATGCTGAATTTCTACTTACCTTTCCTCTAGAACAAAAGTGCAAATGTAATCACCTTCAGTGACTCTTTTGTCACATGAAAATCAATAATGTCTTTCTATGTGCAAAAATGAGCAGAAATATCATCACCATTGCCCAGTGAATGCTTGTCCAGACAATGCTTTCTGTTGCACCAGGAATGTTCTGGAATTTTGTCTTTTTACAGTTTGTCTTCATTTCTCTTGTAAAAAGTTGAGGGAGTAGTTTATAGCCCAAATGTGTTTTCATTTGAAGAGACCATTTTCTGAAGTCTTCCTTGCATCATACATACAAAAGACTCGCGCTTTTGGAGTATCATCACTCTGGCTCAAGGGAAAAGAATGCATGGGCCACAAATTCATCAGCTTTTGGCTAAATGTGTGCAGAATCTAGAAGCAGGATCTAGACATACATTTCTTTAGGATGAATCTATCCCTTTTCTCCAAGAGTCTAGATTCAAGAGATCAAAATGTTAGGGGCATTCGAAGCAAAAACTCTTTCTGGAACCTTCCTTGTTGCAAGGTTTTAGGCATGGACATCATTGCTTTCTTGTTCCTTTGCCTCTGATGTGGTTTGTTTCAAGTACATATGGCCCTTGTAAAATCCCTTCTCTCCTCCCAGGCGGTTCTCAAAACTCCCATAATGAATCAGAAAATCACTAAGTTCTTGCAGATGCTTTCTGTTGTGTAAATCTAGTAATTTCTAGTTTTATCAGAATTTGTATTATTGAGCAGCCTGCAAGGCCAGTCTTGTACCCTTGACATGAAGAAAATCTAGGACACTATCTGTGGCCTGTACCTTCACAGGCTGTGTTCATGGTTTTCTTCAAGCCAGGGCGGTAGGCTGTAAGTTTCAATCTAATGCATTTCAACCCAAAGCCACAGTAACGTGGCAATAATTGCTTCTGTTCCGTGTTTTTGAGTCACTTCTTACTGTGTCATCCTTCAGTGACTTTCCTCTGGTGCATCAGCAGGCTAGTTTTTGGAGACAGGGTCTTGTCAATTGCTCAGGCTGGTCCTGAATTCCACAATTCTCCTGCCTCAGGCTCCCGAGTAGCTGTGATTGCAGGCTTGTACCACAAGGCACAGCTTTAAGAAAAGCTTTTCAAAGAGATTAAAGTTTCTGAACACCTTTTGAGACAAGGTCGAAGGTAGCCCAGGCTGGACTTCATTTCTGATTTTGCTCTGTTTAGAGAGAAGTGCTGTGAGAGAACCCCTGGGAATTACCGTAGCTGTTGTGAACTTGAAATTTGCCCTGAGTATCACTGTATTGTGGTAACTTCTTCTCCAGTTCCCCAGTCATATTAGATATTTACTTATCTGCTTAACAGGTAGTCTATATGTTCAAATAAGTAATAATTTATTGGATACTTACCATTCCAAGACCTTTATCTGCATTACCTCCTCAAGTGGGGAAAAAAAGCATCTGAAACCAATGACTTCTCATTTTAACTTTCAAATCCAAATAAAGGCTTAATAACTTACTACTTAAAGTTCTTCAGAAGTCACATTGTCATAAAGTTAAAGACAAATGTGTGACCTTCTGAAAGAGGAGCCAACACCATGGTTCCTGTCTGTCCATCCACTGAGTGACAAGGTAACCAGGCTGGAAAGCAGGGCAGTCGGCAAATGGGCATCCATGAAAGGGGTGGGGGAGGCTGTTAACAAAGGGGGACACAATGCTGAACCAGAGATGGGATTAATAGAAAACCCCCTGCAATATGCCTCTTGGTTTGTTTGTTTTTTTAAAGACTTGTTTTGTTTTGTTTTGTTTTCAAGACAAAAAAAAAAAATCAGGAGCTGGAGAGATGGCTCCGTGGTTAACAGCACTGGCTGCTCTTCTAGAGAATGTGGGTTCAGTTCCCAGCACCCACACGGCAGCTCACAACTGTCTGTATCTTTAGTTCTAGGGGATCTGACACCTTCACACCAATGTACATAAAATAAAATTAAATAAATTAAAAAAAATTAAGTGACTCTAGCTAGTGATGTGGCTCAGCTGGCAGAGTTTTTACAGGAAGCCTTAGATCTGGTTCCTAACATCCAGTAAACCAAGTGTGGCAGTGTCCACCTGTAACACCTGGTGGAGGTGGGAAGGTCAAGGGTTCAAGGTCATCCTCAGCTACCTGGGGAGTCTGAGGCCACTCTAGGCTGGAGAAACCATCTTTAAAAAAAAAAAGATGCCTATTGCATTTGGGATGGAAAAGTTCTCTCTGAATGACTTCTGCAAATGTCACCCTGCCTACTAATGAAACGATCGTGGTTTTTCTCTCTGACTGTTCTGAAACACTAGTTCGTAACCACCCAGGATTTGGGTCTGTGTGGCATGCAGAGTGAACACCCCATTCATTCCTCTGCACCAATACTGGCTCCCTTGGTAAACAGCCAGTTGGGGTAGAGGGATGGAATTGAGGATACGGATTCTGTTTTTTTTTTTTTTTTTTTCCTGTGTAGTGTGTAGCAAAGCATCACACACAGGAGGGCACCTCATTGATTATAGCAAAAATCTCTGCTGTCTGAATAAATTGGGTTTGCCTTTTCTTTCCCTAGTTGACCCTGAATTAATGGATTTCCCAGATACAAGGGGGAGATATGGGCACAAATTATCTGAATATTTGTGGTGAATAAAGACTTATTATTATTGTTATTATTATTATTATTATTCCCCCCCACACAGAGACTGTATATTCCCCAGAAAACCAATCTAAAAGCTCTGCCAGATCCAAATGTGCGTTCCCAATGTAGCTCAGGGGTAGAGCAATCGCTTAGTATGAAGGAAGCCTTGGGTTCAGTTTCCGGTTCAGCAAAAGAACAACAAGAAAATGAGCATCCATCCTACTAAATAAAACGGGTGGCATGTCAGCTAGCATAGAGAAAAAATAAGGCAGGGAAGGGCAAGGATGAAAGGTGAGCGCGGTACACTTTTACCTGAGGAGAGGGGACGTTTAAGCAAGTGCGTGGGCTGTTGAGGAAGGTGTTGTGAGGATACGGAAGAAGAGTCCTCAAATCATGGAAGCAACCGGGGCAAAGTTCTCAAGGTAGACTAGCAAGCAGGCCCGTGTGGCTGAAGAAGAGATGATCTGTGTCATGAACTTCCTAGCTCCCTTCAGGCCCGCCCTCTCCTCTCCAAGGGTAGAGATGAGATCACCCGGATAACTTGTAGGATCGGGACAGTAAAGTGAAATAGAAGGTAAGGAACGTGGCACAGGCTAGAGATTTCCCAAAGCACAAAGGATGTATTCCAGCATTACCCCCAACTCTACACCTTCTTCCTTCACGGGAAGGAATGGCGCCTGCAGTGTGGGTTACTTGTGAAGAATAAATATAATCTTCTACAGGAAGCACTTAGCTCAGAGGCTCACACAAGGTAGACCCATGACCAAGGTCCTTCTCATTATCTCCAGACTCCTGGATGATGAGTTCATGAGTGTAGGCATAGGTAAGGCTGGGAGAGAAGCTCTGAGTCATCCATAAAGAGGGCTAAAGGAAAAATAGCAACTGGCTGCAATGTCCCAAAGAGCCAAGGCGTAGGAATGGGGACCTGACAATTAGAGAGAAGGGAAGGTCAGTCCCCTTGAGGTTTACTCAAGGCCAGGGAGTCTTAGTAAACCATCTGACTTACCTGGAGGTGTTGGAATGGAAGGGACCTCAGGGAAGGGGGAAAATGAGGTGAACTTGAGGCTTCAACAGAAGGGAGAAAATATACCTGGTGGATATCACAAAGCTGAGCAAATAGAATTGTAGTTGACTGGGCCACAGATGGGCATGACTTCTCAGGCTAGAATGGAGGAGAGAGGCAGGGGAGAGGGAGAGAGAGATTAATTTTGTGTGTCAAGGAAATGTGCATATATGTGAAAACTTGTAGCTGTTGTGGGGAGTACAGTGGAGACCATTTTCACAGGAGCAAAAGTAGAGAGAATTCAAAAATGACATTTCGGAGGGAAGGTAGCAAAGGCAGTTACATCTGAAGCAATAAATAGCAGCTGCTCCTGAACCAGACAACAAATGCTGGCCAAGCTACCTAGAACATTCCTAAATTCCATGTTTAATTAAGAGCCAGGCATCAGCTCAATCCTTGGAAGTCAAGAGTATCTTCTAGGCCCAATGGTTCTCAACCGTCCTAATGCTGTGACCCTTTAACACAGTTCCTCACACTGTGGTGACCCCCAAGCATAAAATCATTTTGTTGCTACTTCGTAACTGTAATTTTGCTACCGTTATGAATCATGATGTAAAAAATCTGTGTTTTCTGATGGTCTTAGGCGGCCCCTGTGAAGGGATCACGACCCACAGGTTGAGAACCAGTTTTCTAGGCCCGGTGGTTCACCCCTAAAACCTCAGCACTAGGAATGCTGGCACCAAGAGGGTCAGCAGCTCAAGACCAGCATGGGCTAGTGAGTCTCTGTCAGGTAAATGGAGTGGGGAATAAAATTCAGACAATCGTGGTGTGACTGTCATAGTAAACAGTTGTGGTTCAGAGGTGGTGTGCGACCTTGGGTAAATCAGCCTTAGTAAGCCTTAGTGATTTCCTTGCAAGTAAAATAAGGATGATAAATACATTTCCCGAAAGGACTAATAGATTAATCTCTCTCTCTCCCTCTCTCTCTTTCTCTGACTTTTGAGCCATGGTTCTATGTAGCCCAGACTAGCCTCAAACTCACTGTATAGCTGAGGATAACTTCAAACTCCCGATTGTCCTGACTCTGACTCCATCTCCCAAGGGCTAGGATTATGGGTATGTAGCTCCATGATCCCTGGCTCACGCGGTGCTAGGGACTGAGTCCCGGGCTTCACACGGGCTGAGTGGGTGCTTTCTCAACAGCGCTGCATCCCCAGCCCCGAAGAAGGCAGCTGAAAGCCATTAAGCATTTTTTTTTTTTCTAGGATGTCATCTTCCACCACAGTAGCAGCGACAAGGGAGGCTGTTATTTGGGATTTAACCTTAACTAAAAAAGGAAGGACCCGTGAACGGAGCTGAGAGGTTCAGAAGGAAGCAGAGGAGAACAAAGAAATAACTCCTTTGCTGTGTGCAAGGTGTGAAGGCTGGATCAGAATGTCCTAGTCCATGCTCGAAGAATTCCCCCCACAAGCACAATTTGACAAGAACATTGCCGTCCCGCTTTTAACCAGACCACCCAGAAAGCGGTTCTTCTCACACCTCTTTAAACATTCCTTCCCTTCTGTCTCTCTGACGTTTCTGTGCAAACATTCACTGAGCCCTAACTCTGCTTCCCTCTGAGCAGGTCTGGAAGGGCTCAAAGTCAGACTCGGGAGCCCTTCCGTTCCCTTACGCTGCTACCAAGCCCACAGCTGTGCCTCTCAGTCTCCATCCCTTCTCTTCCTCTTCTTGACTTTCATTCTTTTTCTTTTCCTCATGCACACTCATTCCAAACACAATTGAAAGATCACAAGTCCACGCAATCTCTCTGCCACCCCCTTCTGTACGCTCACTTGGGACAAACCCAGTATCTGCTTTTGACTCTGTTGCCAATGCAGAATCCCACTTGTGTCCCAGGCTGCCGCGTGCCCAGCTCTAGGTAATGGTCAGACACATAAATCGTTTTAAACCTGCCCCTTACCCCAGCCTCTCTGCTAGAGATGAGGTAGTAGACATCACATGGGCCCATCATGCACCATCTGGAAGTTAAATATGACCATGCAATTTGCTTTGGCTAATGAAATATGAGCTGATTTCTGTCTGTTATTTCCTTCCTTCCTTCCTTCCTTCCTTCCTTCCTTCCTTCCTT